TCAAATGGTTGTACCTAGAAAAATGGAGGAAAACATTTTTCGTGAAAAATTTCACATATCAAACAGTCAAAAAAGTGACTGGAAAACTCCGCCAATCAAACGGAGCCTAAAGATTATAGTCCTGTACAGTTTTTGTAACCGGGTGGGTCAATTGGACGCTTGACTTTTTCATCCGATGTTTTCCATCATATTATATAATTTATTATTTTTATTTTTATGTACAAATAGTAAATAGATTATGTGTCAAAAAGATAATATAGATTTTTTTTTATATTGAGAAATTACGATCAAATCATTTCTCACCATATCACGTGTAATTAAATCAATATGTAAATTATTATATACATGTAATTATATATATGTAACACAATCGTCTTTATTTTTCTTCTCTTTATTTAAGTATAATTTTAATTTAAACTATTAAAATAAAATAAGAAAATTGAAATAGGGTGACGTTTAATTTTCAGTCTAGGATGGGTAATGGAACATTATGTCAACTTTTCCTACAGCAGTGTAACTAATAAACGGACCTCAATAATAGTTTATTTATTGTTGTGGGTGAACGAAAAATATAATAGAGAAAAGTATAAAAGAGATAATTGTTTAATTAATCGTAATCGATCAGTAAGTGGGATAATTTTCTAGATATCTTAATAGAGATAAGACTAACGTTACATAACACAATCTATATGTAATCCACTTTAACGCCACATGGAAAGCAAAGGCCACATGGGCTGGCNAAAATTTCACATATCAAACAGTCAAAAAAGTGACTGGAAAACTCCGCCAATCAAACGGAGCCTAAAGATTATAGTCCTGTACAGTTTTTGTAACCGGGTGGGTCAATTGGACGCTTGACTTTTTCATCCGATGTTTTCCATCATATTATATAATTTATTATTTTTATTTTTATGTACAAATAGTAAATAGATTATGTGTCAAAAAGATAATATAGATTTTTTTTTATATTGAGAAATTACGATCAAATCATTTCTCACCATATCACGTGTAATTAAATCAATATGTAAATTATTATATACATGTAATTATATATATGTAACACAATCGTCTTTATTTTTCTTCTCTTTATTTAAGTATAATTTTAATTTAAACTATTAAAATAAAATAAGAAAATTGAAATAGGGTGACGTTTAATTTTCAGTCTAGGATGGGTAATGGAACATTATGTCAACTTTTCCTACAGCAGTGTAACTAATAAACGGACCTCAATAATAATTTATTTATTGTTGTGGGTGAACGAAAAATATAATAGAGAAAAGTATAAAAGAGATAATTGTTTAATTAATCGTAATCGATCAGTAAGTGGGATAATTTTCTAGATATCTTAATAGAGATAAGACTAACGTTACATAACACAATCTATATGTAATCCACTTTAACGCCACATGGAAAGCAAAGGCCACATGGGCTGGCCTCGTATGCTTCCCACGTCGCGTGGCTATAATGAAGCAATATGATTAGTCGATTTTGAGCGGTATAAGCAACTCGCACAGCCTTCGCATGAATGGTGTGTATTCACCAACCCTTGCCGTTTGTCGAACTTCGCATGATGGATAACTCCCATAGGTACAATAAACGAGTAATTCAATGGAGGAAAACAATGGGCATAACAACAATTCCCAACCAACGGAAGGCATGACACGTGTAAATTTGGATGGGCATAATTCAATATTTTATTTTCATTTTTCGTCTTGTTGTTAACTTCTCTTAGAGATGACAACATGCGAGGTAGGATTGAGTGGGTCAAACCAGGGCGCCCTCTCCGCCCCCGTCCTGTCGAATTTTTTTGTGAATTGAGATGGGACAGGAATTAAAAAAAAATCTCCATTGACTTATTTATTTAAACTTAACAAATTTTTATTTTTAAAATACAATTTAAAATAACAATGATTAGATACCATCTGTAGCTTTTCGTACAATTCAATGGTAACTAATATAGGTCAATGCTAATATTTGCAATATAAATAACCACGTGAACCACACGTGTTGTAGGATTCATGGAGACTTTAGAATAGTAATTTTTAGAAAAATATATGATTAAAAAGTAAAAAAAATTAATTTACATACAAAATATTTTATTGTGTGATTAAAAATGATATGGTAACAAATAGAATTTTAAAATAATGAACACCAAACATAGACTAAATATGTAAGACTGTATAGAAACAGAGATAGAATATTTTAATTTAGACAAATTAGGATAGTACACATTATATAACAATTGAAGAAAAAAGAGATTGTGGGGACATCGTTCGAGATGAGAACACGCGTAGGATATAGTCTATCTAGATGTACAAGAAAATTTAAATAGATATAGACTCCAAATTAAATTTTATTCTCGAAATTTTATGCAAGGAAATAACATGGGTTTAATAAAGGGAAATTACAAAAGATTAGGTGTTTAAAGATTGGTTTTAAAAAATTAGGTCTACAATTTATTTATTCAAAAATCAGGTACTATATTAAAACCTTAATTCATAACGTAGTTTATCTCTCATCCCTTCTCTCTCTCTCTCGCCTCCATCATCTTCCCTTCTCATCCTTCCCCTACCCATCTCTCCCTCGCCTCTATCTGCGCTCGATGCTGCTGACGTCAGCGTCGTGATGACATTGCTCAATTCGCGGCAATGTCACGATGCTGTCGTTCACGCAGCAGAGTCGACGATGCCTCGAATTGCAGCAGCGTCGGGACACTGCTGTTCGTGCAGCAACGCCGCGATGCTGCTGCTGCTGTTGGCGACAGCGTCAGCATCGCGACACTGACGACGTGGACGGTGGCGTGGTGGTGTTTTGTGCACAGCAGCGTGGTTGGCGGTGGTGTTGATAGTCATCCGAAGGCGGTGTTTTATGTGGTTGGATGCGATGGTGGTGGTGGTGGTGTGTTGTATGGTTGGATGCGGCGGTGGCGGTGGTTGTTGTTGTTGCGATGGTGGTGTTTGTACTGGTTGTCGTAAGGCTGTCGTGGTGATGGCGACGACGGGGTGAGGGTAGTCAAAAGTGGCTGAAGTGGTAGTGCCAGTGGTATGTGACCAATTATTTGGTTATACGTGATCAAGTATTTAACTGTGACCTAAAAAATTGACAAAAAGTGGTAGTGCCAGTGGTATGTGACCAATTATTTGGTTATTTGTGACTATGACCTAAAAAATTGACAATATGTGATTGAAAAATAATTCGTGACCAACAAATTTGAAAATATGTGACCAATGAAATTAATTGTGACCTATAATTGTTTGAATTTGTGATCATTGACTAATTAATTTGATAATATGTGACCAATAAATAAGTTGTGACCTATAATTAAGTATATGTGACCATTAATTGTATAATTGTGATCTAATTAATAAATATTTTTAATTAATTAACTAAATACCCGAGTTTTGCATTTTTAAACTTAATACCTGATTTTTGCAATTGTTAAACTTAATACCTGATTTGTGAACTCTTCCCTTTAATAAACTCTAAAATCTGTAAAATTCCCTAAAATAGGAAGGGAGGAATTTAATAATTTCCTCTTCACATCTGTTGTTTTGCTTTGCATGTTCATTACCACAATCAAGTCTAATTTGAAGAAAAATGAAAAATTATAAAAGAAAAAGAAAATTGTGGGGCGCCTATCCAAGGTCAATAAAAGGGAAAACCAAAGATTTGCATTAAAAAAAAACTTCTCAAGCTAACCAGTCCCATCTATTCCTTCAATTTCCTCAATCTCCATGCTGAATCATTTAAGAGAAAAATATAAATAGTTGTTTGTATAATCAGGAAAAAGGAAGAAGGAATTACAAAAATAGCATGTCGAGTAATTGCAATTATAGGATCATCGGCCTTTCTATTACTCGATATTGAACACTGAACTTCATATTTTAGAGATCAATACACATTCAATTATTTTTTACTCAAGAAAGATACCTTTTTAGGTGTAATTATAATTTCGCCGTGGTCTATTTCTACAATGAAAAAAATAATTAAATAGTAGTCTAGAATATTAAGATAATAGAATAATTTTTTAAACAAAATTTCGACTGACGCATAATTCAAAGTAGAGTTTTGTGATTTGTACACCGGGTACAACCCCCTCGCCCCCACCCCCCACCCACAATAGTAGGGCCGTGTTAAAAAAAAAAAAAATCGATTTTGCTACCGGTACATCAAGGTGTATATAGGCGTGTACATCACACTCACATGGGGGATGTGACCCGCTTGAATAAAAAATTATTTTATACAAGTGGGTCCCACCTCATGTGAATGTGATGTATACCATTATGTACAATTCTTGACGTACAAGTAGCATTTTTTTAAAAAAATTGCGAACCCTCCTATTGTAAAGGGGCATGTACACCGAAGTGTTACGCATAACAAAAACATTTTCTTGGACTTTGTGCCCATGCCATATGTGTAACATTTCCTGCTCGACCAAACAATGAGGTCATCAATTAGACCACATTTAAATTAATAATTGTACCGAAATAAGCAAGGTATTACATTTCAATCTCTACTCCATTTATTTTTTAAAATTGCACTGCATCAGTTCTTCAATGAAAATAATATAAGCTGCATGTGAAATAGCGTGTTGATGACTAAATTTAAATAAATAAATCTAACTGTTCCTTAACCTTTTTAAGTTTGGCCGAGTAGAGGGTGTTTGGTGGATATTAAAATTTGATTTTTAGTAGATTGTTATAGAAGTTTTTGAAATGTGTGATCGAAAAGTTGTGGGACCCATGAAAGATGTGATTAATATTGATTGTTTGACTTTGACTTGAATTAAAATCAAATTTTAATCTGAACCAAACATGGGCTAAAAAAAAGTTCTTAAAGAAAATGTAGAATGAAAGAATTAAAAAATTAAGGTAACAAAAGTGCTATTCATTCTAATCAATTAAAAGAAAAGGCAAAAAAAACAACATCTTTTACAACAAAAGAAAAAATATATATAATTCTGAATTCTCCACAAGCATTTAAAAAATAAAAATAAATTCTTACCATGGCAAAGCGGAATCCTGCAAGTAGTCATCAGAACAATAATCATTCAAGCAGCTTTCATTTGCGTTCAACCAATCTGGAAATTCAATTACTTCATCGAATGGAGAGAATAATCCATAATCCTCTGTTTTATCTTCAGGAGAAATTTCCATAGCTTTCAAGAATTTGAACCACCAAGCGGAGGTAACCAAATTCATGGTGTCATTCCACTCCATTTGATGTTTCTCTCCAATTGATCTGATCTCAGCCATCTCCTTATCATCCATTGCTGGATGCAAGTCCAAGTCCATTTCCGGTAAGCCGGATACCGCCACCATCGCCGCCATGCATGGAGTTTCTGTGGTGGCGGNTTTTGCTACCGATACATCAAGGTGTACATAGGCGTGTACATCACACTCACATGGAGGATGTAACCCGCTTGAATAAAAAATTATTTTATACAATTGGGTCCCACCTCATGTGAGTGTGATGTATACCATTATGTACAATTCTTGATGTACAAATAACATTTTTTTAAAAAAATTGCGAACCCTCCTATTGTAAAGGGGCATGTACACCGAAGTGTTACGCATAACAAAAACATTTTCTTGGACTTTGTGCCCATGCCATATGTGTAACATTTCCTGCTCGACCAAACAATGAGGTCATCAATTAGACCACATTTAAATTAATAATTGTACCGAAATAAGCAAGGTATTACATTTCAATCTCTACTCCATTTATTTTTTAAAATTGCACTGCATCAGTTCTTCAATGAAAATAATATAAGCTGCATGTGAAATAGCGTGTTGATGACTAAATTTAAATAAATAAATCTAACTGTTCCTTAACCTTTTTAAGTTTGGCCGAGTAGAGGGTGTTTGGTGGATATTAAAATTTAATTTTTAGTAGATTGTTATAGAAGTTTTTGAAATCTGTGGTCGAAAAGTTGTGGGACCTATGAAAGATGTGATTAATATTGATTGTTGACTTTGACTTGAATTAAAATCAAATTTTAATCTGAACCAAACATACGCTAAAAAAAAAGTTCTTAAAGAAAATGTAGAATGAAAGAATTAAAAAATTAAGGTAACAAAAGTGCTATTCATTCTAATCAATTAAAAGAAAAGGGGAAAAACATCTTTTACAACAAAAGAAAAAATATATATAATTCTGAATTCTCCACAAGCATTTAAAAAAATAAAAATAAATTCTTACCATGGCAAAGCGGAATCCTGCAAGTAGTCATCAGAACAATAATCATTGAAGCAGCTTTCATTTGCGTTCAACCAATCTGGAAATTCAATTACTTCATCGAATGGAGAGAATAATCCATAATCCTCTGTTTTATCTTCAGGAGAAATTTCCATAGCTTTCAAGAATTTGAACCACCAAGCGGAGGTAACCAAATTCATGGAGTCATTCCACTCCATTTGATGTTTCTCTCCAATTGATCTGATCTCAGCCATCTCCTTATCATCCATTGCTGGATGCAAGTCCAAGTCCATTTCCGGTACGCCGGATACCGCCACCATCGCCGCCATGCATGGAGTTTCTGTGGTGGCGGAGGCGGTGGCCGAGAGTGAAGGTGAAGAAGAAGAAGATGCAGATGAGGATGAAAAAAGTGATGGAGGGGTAATGGGATTGTAATAAGGGGTAGCGTCCAAGTTGTTGAAATCATGAAAATTGAGGTTCAGTCCCAAGGTTTGAGTGGGCAGTGAAATATTGAGATTTTCTTGGAAAATTGGTGGTGGTGGTGGTGTTGCAGGAGGAACTGGAGAAACAGGCCAAGAATAATCAGACCCAGAAGAACAGTAGGAGAAATTTGATGTAGAATTTGAGGCGTAAATTCTTTGGTTTCTCCTGGATTTCAATTTAGCCTCATTTTCTAAACAAATTTCCTGAGAAGAAGACCCCATTAATGTCTGATTTTCCATTTCTTGAGCTTTTTTCATGGCCGCTCTATGAAATTTAAGGGCAGTGATAATTTCTCTTCTTGCTTCAGCCATATTCAGAAGCCTCTCCTGATAAGGCCTGCTGGCGTGGAGTCTTCTTCTCACTTGTTTTTTACGCTTTTCACCGAATCCTTCCCCCCTTTTGGCTGAATTTTGGTTGCTACAGGAACTGACTTCTACATCTTTACTCTTATTTTCTTTGGTTCTTGAAGAGGCTAATTGTGTAACAAGGGTACGAACGTAAGAACCAGAGAGATGGGTTTTTTGTTTTTCTTTCAGGTTGTCAAGATTTTCTAATTCCACCCCACCATTTTTAGTACTGATTTGCTTTGAAGAAGATTTTCCTCTCATTTTTTTGTATTATATTTTCGTGGTTTTCAGTTTTCTAGGCGGCAAAGTACAGAATGCAGAGAGCAGAGGTCCGGAGGGCTCGTGGGCGTTATAAATAGATGGCGACATAATCTAGGATTTTTAAGCTCCTTTGGAATTTTCTTAGAATCATGATACATGTACAATTCTGGCTGACAATATCTAGCTTACTAATATTGGACATGTGAAGACAGCGTGACGATTTAATAGATTTCTAGACAATTTTTTCTCCCAAGGGACTACTAATTAGCATTTACGATTAAAGGTTGAAGTCAAATTGCTCGTTTCGAAAAATTATAAACCAACTAATTAGCATACAAAAATTGTTATGTGCAAACTAGCTCGGCTTGTCCCACCAAGCTGTGAGTTGACTCGCGCTTCGCTTCACAGACAAACATGAGCTCAGCTCAACCCATTTCACACTCGTAATATATGCACAAAATTTACGTGGTTAATCAAATTATTAATGAAATTAATAGAATAGAGAGTCAAATGGAGGGAGACATTTTTAGCTTAAAGTTGTTTATTTTTTCCACTCAATAAAGAAATATTATACAAAATTTGAAGTATGAAGGAAGATGATGGTTTGCTATAAATCAACCCTTATCTCTTACATGATCAAAACAAACCGACTTGCATATACATCTTATGACGTTCTAGATGTGGCAACCTGCGTCACGAAATGTCACCTAGTGGCTGCACCATGTTTATCAAATAATTGATATTTCATATCATGCTACTCAAATAATAATGACATCAATATCATGTTACATGTATATCACGAGAAAACAGATTAGACGTATGGAATTTGTGACGGTGCAATTTATCGAGTCACTAAATGAAATACAAGCTACACTTGGACATTATTTGCGTAAGTGTTATACCATAAATTCAGTCGATTTTGAATGTAGATACTTTTAATATGATATATACGGCTTTATTTAAAGTAATATTATTTAGTTCCACTTGAGTTGTTGCCTCAGTGTAAATGACGTTAATGTGGTATTAAATGATAAGTGGAATTAAACAAGTCATTTAATTTCGCCTTTCATTTAGTCTATTATATAGCGCCACCTAAATTGGGATTGTAACCTCAGTGCGGTTACATAGCATTATTTATTTAATTTATGACCGATCTATTATTTAATTCAATTATTATTCTGATAAATTAAATTAATAAAGTTTGTACATTTAAGTCTTGTTAATTTGTTAATTACGATAAGTTGTTATTGTGAGATACAAGTTACATATAACTGAATCTTAAATTATCAGTGATTGTAAGTATAATGAGATACGGATAGACTAGCACGTGACACATTTATCACTTATAATGTGAGTAGTTGATTTCATAAACTAAACTATAGTGACATTTAAATGAAAGAGTGGATGTTTTGTTAATGGAGACCCGTTAAATTTAGATAACTATCTAAGTATCGATGGTTAATATCTAACTTCAGGTAGTGGAATTGGTCATTTAACTTGAGGTTATCATAATACATTATATGAGGACGGTCATGTTTTGGTGATATTGAATGTTGCTGTGTCAAAGAAACACTAATATGGCATTGTTTTAGTATGTTAATAATCATTTAAACGTTGTGAATAACCAACAGAGAATTTTTCACTCTTATATAATAAGATATTATGATATGCGTTTCGTCTGCATCAATTGGTATCAAAATCCTTGGTCAAGGTGAGTTCACAAGTCGAAAGGAGTTTCGATGATTATTGATTTAAGAGCAAGACGAAAGATATGATTAATTAATTGAGATTGACACATCCTCATATCTCATTATTGATCGGATCATATTGACGAACGGATTATAATTTCATGACAAATGAACAAGTTTGTTTTTGTCACACCACGTGACATTTTTCGCTAAATATATTGCCCAGATATATTGCTAGAAATTAATCGAGAACGACAAATATAAATAAATAATTTAGGAGAATTAATAATAAAAAGAAGAGTTTTAATTTATCTTATATCAAAATAATAATTCACATCATTCGTCATCGTAATTGTAATCAAGAACTTAATGGGCTACACATAAAAGGCGAGAACTAGAAGAAATATATTAAGATTTAATTAATTAATGAGTACGAGACATTGGTAAAATTAATTAATTGAGTTGTGTATTAACATGTTTAAGTTAATTAATTAGATTAATCAACTAATGGATTGACTTATGTTTAATGGGTGGGTCAAATCCATTTGAACATCTATTGATAAACCTAGGGTTTGAGTTTGGAAAATTTTCATATCTAAGAGATTAAGTACGACCTATTTCAAAAGTAAAAAAAAATGTTTAAAAGTTCAAAAATCAGATATTAATTAAATATATTAAAGTCACGATTCTTTATAATTTGATCACAAATTATTTTTTGGTTACAAATTATAGGTCACAATTTATTTATTGCACAAAATCAAAAATTTTATATGTCCCCAGCCTGTCCCATCCTATCCCCACCCACAACCATCGCACTATTGCCAAGACCCCACCACCATCGCCATGATCACCACCAATATCACTAAGAGAAAATATGCACACGCAACCGCAACTGCAATGTACCATAGCAACGCAAAAACCACACAATCACAAACCATAGCATCCCCCAACCAACCGACCACACTGCAACCACCAACCACAGATCCAAAACACGAATCCAAAACCATATATTACGCGCCACTTGGCGACGATGAAGAGGGAGGAAGCATGACGGTGATGAAGAGATAGAATAGAGAAAAGGGAGCTCTTGCTTGCACAACGTCGTGCACCGCGACAAAGAAAGCAATGTTCATCGCCAGCGAGAGATAGGTTTAGATAGAGTGTATATAAAGAAGGAGATAGAGATAGAAGGGATGAATAAAGATAAATTTAGGGTTTGGAAGTGAGGTGAGGGTGGATAGGGGTATGTTAATTAATTTAATTTTGTAATATTATTATTAATATTGAAAGATGAGGTAGGACTAGACGAGACTCAAATACCTACAACAAAGATGTCAAGAAAAGTGGGGAAACATATATGATTTGTAGGTAAATAGCCATAGGCACGATTCTGAATTACCGAGATTAAATAAGAACTAAGAAAATATATACGTAAATTATAAATAAGAAATTCAAGAATAGCTTTTTTAACGTTCTTAATACACTCACAATTTTAAAATATAAAAAAATCATTGACTCAACCCATGAATATAAAGAAAGAAGTATTTGATACCAAAAATTTGATTCGTTTATTCTTACAGAACTTAGATAAACAATTTAGAAGATTCAATTTTTTATTCAATAAGCGTTATTTTTGTTATACTTAGTGGTCTTGTTTATTCAATCTAACTATTGAATAAAATGAAGAATATTGATGGAAAAAGTATCTTGCATTATGAATATACTCAACACTATAAATAGAATACTTGTCGTTTTTTTGATTGATTTTCGCCAAAACAAATACATAAAATGTAGCGTACAGGTGCTGTATGGTGCCTGTGAATCCTATTTTGGACCTCAATATCCCCAAGGGGATGTAGGTTGTATCAACTTGTACCTGGCTCAACTTTGATCAATTTTCTTGTATTGTCTGCAAGCTTGTTCACAGTGGACCAAACTACAGAAACTGACATAAGAATCTTCATTAATGTTGTAACCTTCTCTCATCATAAAATATGTACATATACCATTCCAATATTTTCCATATAAATTTTTCAATATGATTCTGCTGATGAAAAGTAATGTGAAATAATGTAAAAGAAGGAAACCGGCCTTGCTGCTTCTGCTGCTGTTTGTGGATAACTGCATCCATGAATGCATTAGCTACTTTTTACTGCCGGATGATTTTGACAAATGGCATTCCAATTCCACCATTTTACCATTACTTCTTTGGATTCCATTTACACTGCCGGATGATTTCAATATTGATTTCAAGTCACCAAATGTACTGATTATAAGTAGAAAATGAGAAATTTTTCTATTGAAAATTGGCCGTCTACCTTGAGAAGGGATCGTTGCTCTTGTAACACTATTAAAATCAAGTTCTTTTTTAGTAAGGACTCATATTTGTGTTAAACCAGTTGATAGACAATCTCAAAAAATATTTGATGGACAATTATATTAACAATATTTTCTGCAAAGGATGAGAGCCTAGTGATTTGAGAGGTCAACGATAGAGAACTACACAGGTTTAACCAATTTGAAATCGTTGATAAAAACTCAGTAAGTTATAAATTCTTGGAGTGAATCGAGACTGATACCGAAAGGATCGATTCTAGAACATGAAGCTGTCAAAGTACGAACAGACTCTTTTATGGCAAATTGCAACCAATGAGTGAAGCTGTCTACTGTATACATGGACCCATGAGTGGGGCCTAGTCAGTGGACTTGTTTAATAGGGAACAATACATAAATCCTATATATAAGAATTACATTTCAAAAATAACAACCTTCAAAAATCTTTTCAAAACAAATGGCGTTTAACATCGGTGTAGGTTTACACTCTCAATTAAATATAAGGAATTATGATCATTTAATGGGACCTTGGATATTGTGACACTTATACTGTGTTCAATACCAATGATGCTAAATAACCTTATTTATTATGAAATTCAGTTTTTTTTTTTTTTTAAAGTTATGATACTATATTTAGCCATTTATTGATTCTCATTATTTCAAAACTCATTTCTAATAACACATTCTCGCAATAAAATATTTTACAAGTAAATTCAAAACAATTTCATACTTTTTAACCGCACATTTTCCAAATATTCACTATTATAAAACTTATTTGTATCTATTTAAATGAGAGTAAAGTAAAATGGACGGATCCAACCCAACCCAGTATCTTTATTGTAACACGATTCCTATATCGGGTTGGTCATTATAAATTTTTCTATAAAAATCTCTTTTCATTAGCCTGTTGGAGCTAGCATAGTCCAACATATCATGAACTGTTGTCAAGTCATGAAGAACTTTACCTTAACTCGACTA